AAAACAAATATCTAATATTATGTTTCTTTAGAGATCCTAAACTAAGCCCTTATCCCTAGAATATTTCCAACATTATCTGTAATACTTACTTCTGGGGAAAATTGAGGATACAGATAGAAGGGTATAGCTCAAAGTTACATGACACAAACTTGAAAAGTCTTCAATCTTAAATGCCTCAAGAAGACATGCTATGATTATCTTGGATTTCTGTGTCCCCATGATACCACTTTATATTCTGACACACCAACCCATATACCCTAATTTAAGAAACAGGGTCATAGGATTCATCTGTTAATGTTTCTGTTGCCCTTGTTAAATAAAAATACCTACCTATACCAAACATCCAGAGGGTCATTTCCAGTATAAAACCGAATTTCAGATTCAAATGCCCTGAAATTTAAACAGAGAATGTTAACATATACAATAGGATCTTAGCATAGACAATAGCCAATGAAAAGTATCACTTCCATATTTATTCATTTTTTAGGTATTTAATATCGATCTAGATAACTGTACTAGAGTTTATGGGTTTGTTAAACAGAAAGGAAAAGAATAGAAGTAATTAGGAGGATGGGCACAGTGGCTCATGGCTATAATCCTAGCACTACAGGAGGCCGAGGTAGGTCGATTGCTTGAGCTTAGGAGTTCAAGACAAGCCTGAGCAAGAGCAAGAATTGGTCTCTAAAAATAGCTGGGCATTTTTGCATTTTTACTAATGGCGAGCGCCTGTAGTCCCAGCTACTAGAGAATCTGAAGCAAGAAGATCATTTGAGCCCAAGAGTTTGAGGTTGCTGTGAGCTATGAAGCCACAGCACCCTACCCAGGTGACAAAAAAAAAAAAAAGTACAAGATATGCAGAAATGAGAGAAACAAATTTTAAGACAACACACAGAAAAGCATTATTATATAGCAGTTCAAACCTCTGGAATAAGATTCCCCAGACTCAAATTCTGCTCCATCAATCACTAGCTCAGTGACATTGAATAAGCTACTGTTTCTGGTTTTCTAATCTGTAAAATGGGGATATTATTAGGTTGATTAGTCTTAAATGTAAAATTTTTAGACAGTAAGCACTCAATAACTTATTTTATATGTATTTAATAGAAGCCATATAGAAACAATAAGAACATTAAAGAAAAGTTCTGGACATAACATTGGAGAATAATACCATACATAATTGGGGGGTACCACAAAGAAAATGTAAAATATGACTACACAGAGAGCTAAGATTAGTGAAAGACTGATCAGTTAGAATAGAGGGGAAGTAAGTGATTAATTAACAAAAATTATATAAGTGATTATGTTTGGTTTTTAATTTTTATTTTTTTAGACAGGGTCTTGCTTTGTCACCCAAGCTGGAATGCAGTGGCAATATCATAGCTCACTCCAGCCTCTAATTCTTGGGTTCAAGCAATCCTTCCTTAGCCTCTAGGCTTGAGTTGCATTTTTGTTAGAAACAGGATCTCGGGTAGTGCCTGTGGCTCAAGGAGTAGGGCGCTGGCCCTATATGCTGAGGGTGGAGGGTTCAAACCAGCCCTGGCCAAAAAACTGCAAAAAAAAAAAAAAAAAGAAACAGGATCTCACTATGTTGCTCAGGCTGGTCTCAAACTCTTGGCCTCAAGTGATCCTCCCACCTCAGCCTTCTAAAGTGCTGGGATTATAAGCAAAGTGCTACTTGTTCCTGGCCAAGCAATTATGGGTCTTTTTTGTTTGTTTTTTGAGATAGGGTCTCATTCTGTTGCCCAGTGTGCAGTGGCATCATCATAGCTCACTGCAACCCCAAACTCCTGGGTTCAAGGAATTCTTTTGCCTCAACCTCCCGAGTAGCTGAAACTACAGTTGTGCACCACCACATCCAGCTCATTTTTCTACTTTTTATAGAGACTAGCCCTTGCGCATGCTCAGACTGGTCTCCAACTCCTGGCCTTGAGAATTGCATCTTGGCCTGCCAAAGTGCTAGGATTACAGGTATAAGACACTGTGCCTAGCATTACAGTTATTTTTATATGTGCTAGGTTTGATCCCACAACTAGAAATCCCGGCAGGCTTTTTTCTAGAACTAGACAAGTTCTAGAAAACTTGTTTGCAAAGACAAATGACCAAAAATAGCCAAGGAAATTTTGGAAAAGAAAAAAAGCTGGAAAACTCACCCTGCCTTAACATGTAATATAATCAAGACAATGTGTTACTGGTGAAATAAGTGATTAGATCAGTGGAACAGGATAGGGTCCAGAAATACGTATGTGGTAAAATGAGTTCTGAAAAGGGCCCCAAAGCAATTCAATGAGGATAGGAAAAATCTCTCCAAAAATGGAACCAGAACAACTAGATATCCACATGGGGAAAAACTTTTACTCTAACCCCATACCATATAGCTAAACATAAAAGCTAAAAAAGCCACTAGAGGAAAACACAGGAGAATAACTTTGGGACTTTGGGTGAGCAAAGATCTCCTCAAGAGGACATATAAAGTGCTAACTATAAAAGAAAAATGCTAACTAAGTCAACTTCATCAAAATTAAAAACTTGGTGGCTAGGGGCAGTGGCTCATGCCTATAATCGCAGCACTTTGGGAGGCAGAGGCAAGAGGATTCCTTGAACCCAGGAATTCAAGACTAGCCTTGCCACATAGCAAAACCCTTTAATTATAAAAAGTTTTTCAAAAAATTAGCCAAGTATGGTGGCACACACCTATAATCCCAGCTACTTGGGAAGTTAAGGTGGAAGGATTACTTGAGCCCAGGAGTTCAAGGCTACAGTGAGCTATGATGGCACCACTGCATAGCTGACTGGATGACAAAACAAGACCCTGTCTCTAAAAAAATTAACTAATTGGCCAGGCATGGTGGCTCACACCTGTAATCCTAGCACTCTGGGAAGCCAAAATGGGTGGATTACTGGAGCTCAGCAGTTTAGACCAACTAAACAAGAGGCTGTAGAGACCCCATCTCTACAAAACATAGAAGAATTAGCCAAGGGTTGTAGCGGGCACTTGTGGCCCCAGCTACTAAGGAGGCTGAGGCAAGAGGATTGTTTATGCCTAGGAGTTTGAAGTTGCTCTGAGCTATGATAACACCATAGCACTCTGGCCTATGGGACAGAGTGAGACTCTGTCTCAAACAAATAAACAAGAAACTAAAAACATAAAAACTAATTAACTAAAATTTTAATACTTGGTAGTTATAATAGTTAACCACCAAGAAAAAAATAGATATCCATGGAGGAAAAAATACTTGCAATTCACATATTTGATAAAGGACTTAAGGGGTGGTGCCTGTGCTCAGTGGGTAGGGTGCCAGCCCCATATACTGAGGGTGGTGGGTTAGAACCCAGCCCTGGCCAAACTGCAACAAAAAATAGCCGGGCATTGTGGCAGGAACCTGTTATCCCAACTATTTGGGAGGCTAAGGCAAGAGAATCACCTAAGCCCAGGATTTGGAGGTTGCTGTGAGCTGTGATACCACAGCATTCTACCAAGGGCGATAAGGTGAGACTCTGTCTCTAAAAAAAAGGACTTGCATGCAGAATATATAAGAACTCCTGGCTCAAGCAGCTAAGGCGCCAGCCACATACACCTGAGCTGGTGGGTTCGAATCCAGCCTGGGCCTGCCAAACAACGATGGCTGCAACTAAAAAATAGCCGGGCGTTACGGCAGGCGCCTGTGGTCCCAGCTACTTGGGAGGCAGAGGCAGGAGACTTACTTGAGCCCAGGAGTTGGAGGTTGCTGTGAGCTGTGATATCACAGCACTCTATCCAGGGGGACAGCTTGAGGCTCTGTCTCAAAAAAAAAAAAAAAAAAGAACTCCTGCAAGCCAATTTAAACAGTAGGCAAAATATGTGAACAGATATACCACAGAGAAGATACATAAAAGGTCATAAGGCATATGAAATGTGTTCACCATTACTAGTCACCAGGGAATAGAAAGTAAAACCATAGTGAATATAACCACATACCCATAGGATGGCCAAAATGAAAAAGATTGACAATATTAAATACTAGAGTGGATCTGGAGCAAATGGACTCTCATATATTGCTAGTAGTAGTGTAAAATGTTACAACCATTTTGGTAAGCTATTTTCTTCAACAGTTAAACATATATTCTTTATTCTACCAATTCCATTAGAATCTGGGAAATGGAAATCTATGTCCACAAAAAGTCTTGTACAAGAATGTCCACAGCAGCAATATTCATAAAGCGCAAAATTGAAAGAATCTAAAGGTCTATCAGATGGTAAATGGATAAATGGAATCCTATTCAGCAATAAAAAGGAACAATCTATTGATACATGTAACATGAAAAAGCTGTAGAAATACGCTGAATGAAAGAAGTGTATGATTCTACTTACATAAAATTCTAAAACAGGCAAAATTAACCTATAGTGATAGAAATATGATCAGTAGGTGTTTAGTGAAGGAGGGTAGACTGATTGGGAAGGATCATAAGAGAACTTTCTGACATAATGTTTTGTCTTGAAATGGATGTCAAAACTGATTAAACAGTACACTTAAAAATCTGAGAATTTCGGGGCAGCGCCTGTGGCTCAGTGGGTGTGGCGCCAGCCCCAAGTGCCGAGGGTGGCAGGTTTGAACCCAGCCCAGCCAAACTGCAACAAAAAAATAGCCAGGCATTGTGGCAGGCGCCTATAGTCCCAGCTGCTGAGGAGGCTGAGGCAAGAGAATTGCCTAGCCCAGGAGTTGGAGGTTGCTGTGAGCTGTGTGATGCCATAGCACTCTACCGAGGACAAAAAAATGAGACTCTGTCTCTACAAAAAAAAAAAAAAAAATTCTGAGCATTTCACTGCATGTAAATTATACTTTTTTCTTTTTAGAGACAGAGTCTCACTTTGTCACCCTTGGTAGAGTGCTGCGGCGTCACAGCTCACAGCAACCTCCAGCTCTTGGGCTTAGGTGATTTTCTTGCCTCAGCCTCCTGAGCAGCTGGGAATACAGGCGCCTGTCACAACGCCTGGCTATTTTTTTGTTGCAGTTTGGCCAGGTTTTGAACCCACCACCCTTGTTATATGGGGCTGGTGTCCTACTCACTGAGCTACAGGTGCTGCCCTATAAATTATACCTTTAAAAAATCACCAGTCTTTAGTGTCCAAGTAAATAAAATTAGGATGAGAGAGCAATGGTTTAAATTTGGGTGAATTTTGGGTCATTGATCAAAATGGAGAAGTAGAAAAAAAAGGTCATTTATGAAAGAACAGATTCAGTATTTAATATACTAAATGAAATATTCATCTAATTATATGTTATGGGTAGATAAAAAAAACAGAAGGCGAGTAAGAGATGTTGAACAATCCTGGAAAACTTGAACATAGGCTGAGAACAGAGACTTAGTGAAATGCAGCAAGCCAATAAGAAAGTAGTAGTTAAGAAAAGTGGGAAAACTAGTACAGTCATGTACTGAATAATGCCATTTCAATCACTGACGGACTGTGTGTCCGTGTGTGTGTGTGTCTGTGTGTGTGTGTATATATGTATATAGGGGGTCCCATAACATTATAATACCCTATTTTCACTGCACCTTTCCTATGTTTATATGTTTAGATACACAAATAACTATCATTGTGTTACAGTTGTGTACAGCATGCTATACAGGTTTGCGGCCTAGGCATGAAGTAGAGCTATACCATCTTAATATAACTATATACACTCTGTGATGTCTGCATAATAATGAAATCATGTAATGACATATTGCATGACCATATAACATCAACAAAACCATGAAGAGGCTC